AAATAGATAATTACGTATATATAACTAAAATAATTTAATCTTATAAAAATGTGACCTAACTGTAGTAAGTAATTACAATTTATAGTAACTTATTTATAATAACTTGTGTTCAAACTTTGCACTTGATAGAATAAATTAATATTTAAATGTAACATTATTTGTTACATATAGTTACGGCACTTAATGTTAATTTCTATCATGTATCTAGTCATAGTCATATCCATATACACAGCTCATGTAAACTTTATCCCATGCATAATTATAGGGAGGTTACAACCTCCTGTGATTATCCAGTACGCCATACATGCGTACGTACACTTGTATATATAGAGCTAGCCTCATGTACCTTCTTATTTATGTTGACGACATCATTATCACCGGCAACAACAACTCCATCATCACTACCTTTCTCGAGGATATCTCTCGACGGTTTTCTCTTAAAGATTTGGGATCTCTTTCCTACTTTCTGGGTCTGGAGGCTGCTAGGACTTCTACTGGTTTGTTTCTCACTCAGTCTAAATATACACGTGACCTCCTGACCCGTCTTCACATGCAGGATGCTAGTCCCGCTCCCACACCGGTGTCCACTTCTGACCGTCTCACTCTTCATGACGGCTCTTCTAATTATGATGCTACCGCCTACCGTAGTGCCCTTGGAGCTCTTCAATATCTTGCATTTACAAGGCCGGATATCAGTTTTATTGTCAACAAATTAGCCCAGTTCATGCACTGCCCAACCCATAATCATTGGCAAGCTCTCAAACGGGTACTCCGTTATTTAAAAGGTACACTTCACCATGGCATTTTCATCGCTGCAGATACTCCTCTTACTCTCCATGCTTTCGCTGATGCGGACTGGGCCGGTGACCATGACACTCGCCACTCCACCTCTGCCTATATTGTCTTCCTTGGACGCAATCCTTTAAGTTGGAGCTCTAAGAAACAAAATACAGTTGCACGATCCTCCACGGAGGCGGAGTACCGTGCCATTGCTTCTGCTACAGCTGAAGTAAACTGGCTTGTCAACCTTCTTAAGGAACTTCATATCTCTCTTCCACAAATACCAACGGTTCTATGTGATAACATTAGTGCCACCTACGTCTGTGCGAACCCGGTTCTTCACTCTCGCATGAAACACGTCGCCATTGACTTTCATTTTGTTCGTGAACAAGTCGACCGCCGTCAACTTCGAGTCTCACACGTCTCTACTCGTGATCAACTTGCTGACTCTCTAACCAAGGCTGTTGCCAGAACTCAATTTCTTTCTCACCGTTCCAAGCTCGGGATCCTTCCAGGTCCTCCTCACTTGAGGGGGCATGATAGAATAAATTAATATTTAAATGTAACATTATTTGTTACATATAGTTACGGCACTTAATGTTAATTTCTATCATGTATCTAGTCATAGTCATATCCATATACACAGCTCATGTAAACTTTATCTCATGCATAATTATAGGGAGGTTACAACCTCCTGTGATTATCCAGTACGCCATACATGCGTACGTACACTTGTATATATAGAGCTAGGCTCTACTTAATAAAATACATTACATTTAATCCTAAATTCTTTAGCACTTAAGAGACTATGAGACTATACTATAGTAACTCTATATGACAATTAAATAACTTGATAGTACAATTATTAGTGAGCCTTAGGAAACTTTTTTTTCCCTGTACTTTCTCGCATATATAGTACTTTCCCCACTCCAGGGCCGTCTAATGAATTTGGAGGCCCCGGTTTTAAATGTAAAATCGAGGCCCCAAATTAATACTCCGTAAAATTTTTAAAAAACAATCAATCCAAATAGTTATACTCAAATCAATTATATACTCATTAAAAAGAATTAAAAGAGTAAAAGGACCAACGAAAAAATCATGCATCTTTATTTTTCTTCATTACTAATTGTATTTTACTGATTAGTATTAATATATAATATTACTCCGTACTACATAATACTTAAAGAAATTTAAAAATTTGGGGCCCCATAAATTCGGGGGCCCTGTTCTGGATAACCTATTGAACCCCCTAAAAAACGGCCCTGCCCCACTCCTTAAGATTTTGTCATCTTTTCTTTTAGAGTCGTTCCAAATACTTTATCACTTTCATTTGTTTTCCTCTGTACTTTCTAGCTATCTCCTCTGCATAAACTTCAACCACACTATTTTTATTTTATTATTATCCGTGTCGGTCAAACATGACAAAATTTTAAGGAGCGGAGGAAGTACTAGTATATGTTATGTTAAACCTAACATCCTAAACTCTACAAAACGGCGAGCAACAATTCGCTAGCAGAAGCAATGATTAGCGGTCGACAACAATGATAGTATACTCCCTCTGTATTTTAAAAAATGGCTAGATATGACTTCCACACATTATTTAAGAAGGAATATAAGAGGGGCAATGGATAGTGTAGAAAAGTATGAGACAATGTGTTAAAGTATATGAAATAAAAGATAACAACTAGAAAAATTAAGAGTAATTGAGTATTTTTAAGAACAACTTACCAAAAAGAAAAGTGTAGCAAATTTTACTATAAATACATCCAAAAAAGTGTAGCAAACTTTAAAATATGGAGAGAGAGAGAGAGAGAGAGAGAGAGAGAGAGAGAGAGAGAGAGAGAGAGAGAGAGAGTATCTACAAAGAAAGTACAACAACAAAAGTTTCATGAGATACAGGAAAAATAATTAAAATACTCCAAAATTTGAATGGATGTGAAATGAACACCCCAAACTTGCATATGTAATTTAAATACCTGAACATTATATAAAAAGTTATTTTAGAACCGTAGTCAAGTATTATTTCTTTTCAAAATGTAAACTTATGATGTTAATGATATAATTTAAAATATTTTAGATTCATGAAGACACATGTAATATTCTAAACTTTCATTGCAAAATAAATATTGTTACCCCCTATCTATATAATTGAAACATTTTTAATTTTCTATTTTAAATTCCGCAATTAACCCCATAAATTTACATTTTCAACAGAAATAATACACGAAAATGATGTGAAAATAACTTTTTATACAAAGTTTGAAGTATTTTAATTGCATATGCAAGTTTTGGATGTTTATCTTACACCCCTTCAAAGTTTAGGGTATTTTTATTATTTTTCCATAATTGTCTATCAAGTTATTTCATTGCCACATGCATAGCGTTATTGTTATAACACATAAAATTTGTACTATCAATTTTTCATGGGATCCAAATTTGTATTTTCTTACAGCTACTACTACGAATATAATTAATAAAAGTTACAACACATAATTTATCTCCTTTTTTTTATTTGGCAAAATTACACATTACGTATCATAGTAAACATAATTTTAAATAAGTTACTCCGTATTATTCAATTCTAGATATACCCCGTGCATCACACAGGTACTTAAAAAATGATTTTTAAGTGATTTTAGATAAAGTGTTTATTAGTAAAAGTTGATAATGTTTTGAAATAGAAGTGATTTTAAGTGATTTTAGAGAAAGTGTTTATTAGTAAAAGTTGATAATGTTTTGAAATAGAAGTGATTATGGTAATAAAAAAAAAGTTAGAGTAGAAGTGTTTGATAAAAAAAAGTAATTGCAAATGTAACATTTTGTTGAAGTACAAAAATACCCTTGTGCTTATTCCATTAAATAACAAAACATTCCATTTATTTCTTTACACCCACCAAACAATATGTTTATATAATATAAAGTAGATAACAAATAATATCTTGGGAAAATGGAAACTAATAATCCAACCTTTTAGCAGTTTTCTTATAATAGTCTCACTTTTTCGTTATTCATGAATAATCCAACTTTTGCACCCCATCTTCATTTGCTGGTCCCTGACCGGTTAATGACCTGCTATTCCAAGTTATTTTTCTATCTTTGCAAGATATTGTGAGATTTATGGTATAATGGTTTGAAAAGATGAGAAAATAACTTGGAATAGCAGGTCATCAACCAGCAGATAGGGACCAGTGAATGAAGATGAGGTGCAAAGATTCATGAATAATGAAAAGGTGAGACTACTGTAAGAAAAAAGGTTGGATTATTGGTTTACACCCATACATTTCCCTAATATCTTTATATAATATACTCCATTCATTTCTTTACACCCACACAACAATATACAAACCCATTACACCCGATCCTTCCTCCTCCTTTCAAATTGAAGTTCGGATCTTAGGAAGAAAGCCTTGGACCGGTCCCGGGCCGGTCTTGGGCGGGCTTTTAGGGTTTGGCTACGGGCCCGGGATTCCACCGGGTTCGGGCCGGTCCGGTCCCCGGGCTTGTTCATTTTTTTTTTGCTTTTCTAATTAACCTCCGACCCCCCCCCAAAACCCCCTCAAAAGGCCCAGCCCAACCCAGGAAAAACAAAAAACATTGAAAAAAAAGGCCCGGACCGGGCCGGTACCAAAGGACCGAAACCACCCTGCCCAACCCCCAGGCCCGAACCTAGGCCCGGAACGGTCCGGGCCCGCACAGATTCTCCAGTTGTCGCTGCCCATCTCTCCTTCGATTGACACCCAACTTGACAATCCGCTAAAGTAAATGCCCCAGAATGAAACTGCCGGCCCAACTCTCTCAAATAGAGTGTGTGACGGTAAACCTATAATCACATGAAATCCATGAAAGCCAGTTGCTAGGGCGTAGCTAGGTCTCACAATTCCCTCTTACCCGGAGGATTAAATTGCTTTTTTTTTTTAATTAAGTTAATGCAAACCCTCCTTAATTAAATACTATCGTATCAACAATTAAGTGATTGTGACATTACATGCATAGAGATTGTTATTGGATTTTATTCTATTACGTACTATTATGGGGGTTCAAGAATCAAGAACTTAACACTAAATTAAATTTTCATTTGGCAGAAATTAAAATCTATACCGTACCCCCTCAATTTAAATTTCCACTCACACTTCCAATTGCAAGTCAGTTTCCCCTCATTGATTCACACTATGATACAAAACTGCGAGTGAGAGTTCGATGATATTCACCCTCCCTCCTTTTATATGTGGTATGTAAATTCTTTTTTTCAAAGTTATAGCAATCTTTCAAAGTGGCCGACAACATTATATTATTTTATGGGCAAATAACGTAATAATACTAGTACATTTTTTGCAGAACATAAAGAGCGAGTAACCACCAAATAAAAACACACGAATATAATGTTGTTAGGCCATGTTGCCGGTCGGTCGTGAAAACCTAAAAGGTTATTTAGGCTCCTTAACGTGGCTCCCCATCCTGACGACGTTTCCATCGATATCTCGTACGTACCCCACTCTTTGCCCCCACTTTTTATCCGCCGGAGGAGTCACCGGCACCGCCCCATTCTCCACCGCTCTCTGATAAGATCACCACCATCATAATCATATTTAATTCTTCATAGTATTATAATTAAGTAATTAATAATAGCAGTATACTACACTAACAATGCAGCAAAACCAACCAATTAAGCTACGTACGTACCTTGTAGGCAGCATCCACGTCAACATAATCGAAGCAAAGCTCAATTGCCTGCCTCTCACCGGCGGAATCCGGAGTCTGGACCTGCCCGGTTAGATCATCGGTCTCGCGTTGATGCATCGGCGTGAACGCTATCGTCGTCGATCCGCTCTCTAGCTCTGCCCATCTGGAGACATGCATAATTCACATCCAAATGCAAAATATAATACCGGTATAATTATTGATGCTAATTTATCATTACACAATTAACTGGATTAAGTTATTGTGCACGGATTTTTTCCTACCCTCCACACATTATATAATTTTTTATAGACAAAAATTGTTACCATTATACTTCGTACTACCTCCGTTCTCTTTTAATTGCAACATTGGACTTTTTGCATTATTCACGTATTCTACTTTTTGACTATATTTTATTTATTAACGTATTATAAATTAAATTTTTAAAAACTATTGTTAAATTCTTCTCATTCTGAATTTTCAAAATATGAATTTTTTAAATTTTTTACTAATAAAGAATGAAAGATATTAACGGTCAAACTTGTGTGTTGGCAAACGTGAAACGTTGACTGGGAAGGTAGCAAGTATTTTGGATCTCCATACCCTGCCAATTCAAATTTATATATGCGGAGTATCTCTTCAAGACTAGGCTTAAAGAAATCCAACCAAATTCATATGCCTCTGTACAATCAGACTTAAATAAACTCAGACCAGACAATTACATAGTACATATTCATTAAGCATAAAATGTAGTAGTATGATAAATTAATTAATGATCGACAGGAACTAATGAAATGCAGTTTCAAGCGGATCACTTCAAATATTGATAAAAGAACTATATTTTGTATGTAAGGATATGTATAATACGAGTACTATAATTGTGGTGAAATGAAATTACTTGAGGTTGTGATCCAAACGACGAACGTTGTAGCCGAAAGCCTTAGCGTAAAAATCAACCGATTTGGTAACATCTTTTGCGTACACAACTGTATACGCAAACGCTGGACCGCCCAAGCTCGACGCCATATATATTTCCGATCGATCCCTCGATCTCTTCAATAATAAATTAAACTCGATCTAGCTCTATATAACTACAATTAATTATTCTTAAATTTTATTTTCTACTCTAGCTCGATATGATTGATCTATTGATCTATTTAATTTCGGACGCACTCCTCGATTTCGCTAGCTCCTAATTCCTGTTGAAACTATACATGCATTTGTAGACGATAGATCAGATATGTAAATATATATATCCAAGGGATCAAGGATTCGATTGATAATTTGATATAAATAAAATGTATGGTGACACTTGGCTTGGAGAGTAACGAGTGTCTACACGTGTACAACATGCAGCCTTGTGAATGAGTTTACTTGCTTCTACGTGTCTCATCCTCCATTTTTTGAAACCATGGGAATACTCAAACAACATTAAAGTGGATTGAAGATTGAAGTTGTTTTGATCTCACACGTACTAGCTAGACCAAAATAGTATCATACCATATCAAATCAAATTAAACAAATAAGATCAAATATTCTGAATTAGCCCAGGACCGGACCCCGGACCGTTTTAAGTTCTTAACCCAGGAGGACCAGACGGACTCGGACCCAGTGGCGTATCCAGAAAATTTAGCGAGTGAGAGTAAACTTGACTACAATTTAGTCTCATATTTCACTCTCATATTTCACTCATAACAAATCACATTATTAATATTGTTTGATTAAATTTAGTTTATAATATCTATGTACATGCAAGTACAAGTATGAATAAAAAGAAGATTAATTTATATTACGGGTGTGTAAAGATGTAATTGCAGATAAAATGTAATAAATTACCTAAATACTACGGATGTATGTTTTAACTTATATGAGTTATAAAATAAGGTAAGTTGACTTATTTAGCCTAAACACCTAATTACTAAGATGTTTAGCTAAATTACGTAATTACCTAAACATACCGGAGTATAAGTTAAACATAACAAAATTTAGTGTTTTAGCCTTTCATTCTGTTAATATTAAAGAAAACACTTTTAGTCCTATTTTAGAATTTTTTTTCTACATTTAACTCTTATTTCGAGCAATTTTTTTGTAAAAATTTGGACATATATATAGGGGTTGAGTTGGGGTTGAGTGGGGGTAACTGCCCCCACTGCCCCCATAGTGGATACGCCACTGCTCGGGTCCATTCCTAAGTGTGACTCTTGGGCACAATTTCATAATTTCATTTTTAGTTTTTAATTATAAACATAATACCCAGTATAGAATAATAAGCGTTACATTACATTTTTTTTGGACAAAGCGTTACATTACATAGGGAATAATAAAGGTAATAAATTAGGTTTTAGGAAAACTAAATAGTCATACATTAGAAAAAATAGTCATGTATTGACTTTTTTTCCAACAATATTCATGTACTATTACATTATTAATATAGGTAAAATAATAAAGTCAACATAACCTGTGTTAATATTATGGCAAAGTTCCCGAAATAGGACTAAAAAAGTTTGAAAATTCCAAAATAGGACTGCCATGTTTTTATTCTCAAAATAGGACTAATTACTGTCGAATTTGGAAAATACTGCCATATTTGAAGTCTGGTACTGCCAAAACATGACAGTAATTAGTCTTATTTTGGGAATAAAAACATGGAAGTCCTATTTTAGAATTTGCAAATTTTTTTAGTCCTATTTCGGGTAATATCTCTAATATTATACGATCTTCCGTTTTTTAGTAGCAGCATTGAAATTTTGCACTTTCTACATACTCTATTTTAACTGTTTTTATTTATTAATGAAAAATATTATTTAATTTCATCTCATTACAATTTTTCATAATCCGATTTTTAAATATTTTTAAATATTTTTACTAATAGAGAATTAAATATAAAATAATCAAAATTATGTGTTTACAAAGGTGAAAATGAGAGCATTGTAACTTATATTAGTCCTTATACTCATCTATGAGGTTATTTTTTATTTATGTGTCTCGTTCACAGATAAAAAGGACATGCTTTTGTGTATGAAAATTGTCTGTTTTATCTTTGAACGGCATTTCAAACAAAAATAATAATTATCACATGAGTAATATAAGGACTAATATAAGGGTGCCTACAAAAAAAAAACATTTTTCTGATAAAAAGTGAAGGGGTTTGACATCTTAAAGCGGCCAAATCTTTGACGAGTTCGTGAAATTTCCGGTAACTACACAATCAATGCCGTACCTACCCCACCGCCAAAGTTGTTATACCATCTTCGCCCCTGTATTTGTCTTTCCGGCGAATCCAAATATTCTTCTGTCTTTTCTTTGCCGAAAACGAAAGCCACACCCGCCTGCACAAAAGCTGGGCATTGAGCGACCTGCACTTTTACTCATTTTTCTCTGTTGGAATTCTATCCCGCTACTCTGACTCTTGTCCGGAACGAGTTTCGTTTCCCGATCCAGGTATAATCTCCTCGCATTAGCTTCCTCCGTTCTTAAAAGGCGATTACTCTTAATCCCACAATGTAAAAGTTCAGTGGTATTACAAACAGTTAAACTTGGAAGATGGAATCATGTTTCAATGTTGAAACTCAAAAACTCATTCAACTATTCTATAATATACGGAGTAGTGTAATTGTGTAATGATCTATGTGGCATAAAAATAGTGATTTCTTAGCACAATTTTTGCCCTTTTTCTCTTTCTCACATTTTCTGCAATTAGCATCATAGCGTGTTTAGCTTCAGCATGCTTTTCTGTCAATAGAATCATGTAATTCCTTTGGAAAGCTCAATAATGAGTGAGGAATGAGTCCAATGCAGTCATCACAAAGGGCACATGAATGTTTCATATATACCAGAGTGCATGAATGACTCATTCCTCAATCATCAGTGATTCCTCACTCAGTACAAACTTAAGAAAACGCGAATAATCTTTGCACTCACTTATAGACTTTTGTAAGAGATACGGAGTATGTCATTAGAAACATGGATTATCCATGCTCTCCTCACAACTTATCCCTAATTATCTACGTCAAGAGTGTAAGTTGGTGCAATCACTAATTTATGAAAGGGTCCTTTAAGCAGTGCTCTAAAATGGGTTAGGGAGCCAAAGGCCCCTACGCAGAACACTGGGCCCTAGAACCAGGGACGGAGCCAGAACTTAGTCATAGGGGGGGCAAAGAAGCAACACAAAGAAGCAACCAGATTTTAAACAACAATTTAAAACAACCTAATTATACTTAGCCAGTGTTTGGTCGGGTCCAAACTGATACTTTAAAACAACAATTTTAAAGCCATAATAGAGGCAAGACGCACATGTTCAATGATTTTAACAATTGAAGCTATTCAGTAAAGCCTCTTTTCCCAGGCTCCTTCATGCCAACCACATCTAGTTCTTATCAGTTATCACACATTTGAACAATTTGTTGACAATCGTGTAAATGCTGAATCTGAATGCGATAACTGATTGTACTATCTTACTTTTATGCTTTTGCCTGATACAGTTCCATTGAAACTAAGCTACATATTTTGCTCAGTTTTTTTGTTGTTGTAATAATTAAACACGCATGCTATCCTATTACAAATACTTGTCTCATTTATGTATGAATCTGGGTGCTTCTCATAGGGTCTTCAACTACCTAACCCAAGCAAGAGTGGACCTGACTTTGCCTCCTTATGATCTAAATTTTCCTCATCTTTGAAGTGACTGCTATATAAACACCCCACAAACTCTGCATGGAAAATTCAGTCTCTAATCCGTTGTCAATAGGAAATTCTGGTACAAACTGTGCCATGATCAGTAACAAACATTCAAAAAGACATGCCATCTCTTCCGGTTCAAAATATTTTGCACGTCAATCTTCAGGCAGGATATCTTTGTTTGGTGGTGGGAAATTGAGAAAGGGATCTGGTTGTCAGATAGCACTATTCTTATTGAAAGTTGCTGCTTTGGAGAGTGTAAGAAGGATCTCAAAGTCAAGATGTCCCCCAGTGTGGTCTAGCCTCCAGGCTTTACAAGTCATCTGTTATCCTCCATTTAAATGGATCCAGAAGTGGGCTCCCTTTGGAATGCTGGTTAAAGGCATGCAGGTTGGTGGAAACTCAAAGTTGTAATCTTTCTTTCTGTGTTTGGAATAGAATTAACATTCAACTATTCCTAATCTCTACAGTTCCTATATATCGTGAAGTCATAGACTGTATCAGCCCATTGCTAAAGTTGGGAAAAAATGATGACTAATTGTATCTTGTTATCTCCTCATATTTGATTATCATTCTACTTATGTTTTTTATTATCTAGAAAATCATTAGCTCTGCTGTTATCTTCATCTCGACATCTGATAGTTATGGCCTTCATTTTGGGATAGATGTTATCCCGACCACTACTGGTGCTATCTATTGCCACAGCTTTCTCTGATAATCCAGAATGTAGTAATTCCACTACAGAAAGTAATGAAGTTGATCACGGTAATGATGATTCCTATGGTGTTTGCGAAATTCAGCCAGAGTTATCCTCTATGCAGCCTTTGGCCTCTGCGAGGTACACCACTAATTTATTACGCGTATGCCATAGCAGCAACCATTGATACTTATTGCTTGACAAACATATTGAAGTTCTCTCTTTTTTCAAATATCTTACACCTATCATCGATAAGCATATTATTTATGCATTTACATTGTTGTTGTAGGGATGTACTACATCTAAAACTCCATTTTTTATTTACCACATCTAAAACTCCATGTTTTATTTCAGCCAAAACCCCTCCTTTACCTTTCTTTGTGCAGTGCTGAGGATGATCTTCCTGTACTGCCTGCCAGTTGGCTATCTCAGCTGCATAAAGAGCTGGAAGAGCAGGGAATTACTTTGAGAGATAGGTTATTCTTGATCGAATAAACATTTTTGCAATGTCTTGTTAATGTTCATGCCGTTCAAATTCATGCTTCTTGTTCTTTTACTTGATAATTTCTTGTTCTTGACTGTCCACACAAGCCCTCTGATAGAACACAGGTAGCAATCCAAGTAAAACAGTAAGAATTCTGCATAAATCTAGCTAGAACAGATCGAAAGACTTCATTATAAAACTGAACTGGTTGTTGTGCTGAATGCCTATCACCCTCCCATCGGATTCCTATTATCATTCATTATTTAATTACATTGGCGCATATATCATTATTACATGTTTGGGACAGTTAGATGTATATCTAGATTAATAATGAAATACTGATGAGCTGTTTGGTTGGACGAAATGAATACACGAGGAATGAAATTTAATATCTG